GAGAAAAGCCCACAAGGACCTCATCTTTGGAGGAACTGGTGAGAAGGTGGGAGGCTGAGCTGTGAGCCAGGTGGAATAAGGGACCTAAAGGAGCAATGGGACAGGGAAGGAGAACTTGAGAAAAGTCCTTTCCGGGTGGATAAATGCACAGCCGTGGCTGGGATTCCCCAGGAGCAAATATCACTCTTAAAGGATCCGATCCTGTGCTTCAAAACAGAAGGCCAGGCTGGGCGCGTTGGCTCACGCTTGTAATCCCAGTACTTTGGGAGGCCGAGGCAGGTGGATCACCTGAGGTCAGGAGTTCAAGACCAGCCCAGCCAACATGGTGAAACCCCATCTCTACTAAAAATACAAAAAAAAAAAAAAAAAATTAGCCGGGCATCATGGCACATGCCTGTAATCCCTGCTACTCGGGAGGCTGAGACAGGACAATTGCTTGAACTTGGGAGACGGAGGTTGCAGTAAGCCGAGACCGTGCCATTACACTCCAGCCTGGGCAACAAGAGCAAAGCTCTGTCTCAAAAAAAAAAACAAAAACAAAACAAAAAAACAGGGGTCCAGTTCTAACCTCTGGAGGCAAACACTCACCTTTACAAGTTCATTCCTTTGTTCATTCATGCAGTAAACATCCACTGCCTCCCATCCATGGTGGCACCATGGATGCCACACCAGTGTCTGGGGACACTAGGACCTCTAAGATATGGTCTCTGCCCATGGGGGCTTCACAGTCTGGTGGGAAGGCAGACCAGGGGCTCCACGTTGGGCACCCACCCCATCCACAGCCCACATTGCTCCTCGGGGAAGAGTGTGGAACCGTGCAGCACCCACCCTTTCCTGGGGGAGTGGGCTGGGAGTGTGGAGACAGTCTGAGCCTGGCAGGTGGGTCTTGCCCTCTCTGGACTTTGCTGAGGGCGTGACTGCAGGTGTACAGTAGGGGGGGGCGGGGCGGGATTCACCGCCACTGTGCTGATGCCTGTGTTCCTCCAGGAACCCGATTCATGAGGCAAAAATTACCATAATTGATTATCCCACTGAGCGGCTGAGAGCAGTGTTTGCTAACATCGAGGCTGAGACTCAGCTGCGTGTTTCCTGACCCTGGGAGCACGCGGTGGGATGGCATCCGAAAGGCCCAGCCCGAGGGCTCCCTCCTTCCCCCAACTCCAGGAGTGGGCAGGTGGGACAGGAGCCAGAGAGATAGAAAATGCTGAGAGCATAGAAGAGGAGAGGGGCTGACATTCATCTCAGAAACACGAAGCCAGGTGCCGTCCCAGGGACGGGCAGCCAGGCCACTACCGGAGTTCCTTGTGCCACTACATGGGCGGGAGACCATGTAGTCTCCGCAGGGAGACCACCTTCCTTCCCACACACAAGGGCCTCTGGGGAGGCGCAAGGAACTCTATGACCTGGAGGTTCTGTGAAAGGATGGAGGACGAACCTGGGCTGAGGGAACTCCTGGCCGAAGCGCCAGGGAGACAGGTTGGACCCATTGCTGAGGCATCAAGCTTGGCTGGCTCTTTGACCACCCTCTAGTTCTGGAGCTTTCAAAAATGGAGACTCTTTGGTGATTCAAATGGGGCCCAGCCCCTGGGTTCATGCAGTGCAGGTAGGACGTGTTGCACTTTGACCAAATAAAGATGCTCGCAAGTGTATGACGTATGTAAGAGAACTCAGGGGATATCAGGAATCACTGGGAAGAGAAGGACCCGCAGAAGCGGGGAAGGTGGGACGGGTGGGGCGGGGGGGCGGGGCCCCCCCCACCGCAGAGGCGAGAAAGGTGGGGCAGACGGGGCGCTCTGCCAGCTCCCATCTGGGCTGATGTGGCCCAAAGACTGGGAATTCCAGGGCTGAAAGTTGTTCTTGTGCTGGGAGGAAATCCGAGGGCTTGGGCACAGAACCTGGGCCAGTGGAGGAGAAAGGGCAGACACACGAGGCATTCGGGAAGAGAGGCGAAATCCCGAATGCTTGGCTTAGTCCTTCTTCGCCTTCTCAGCCCTCGGGCCAGGTCCCGCCTCCAGCAGATCTGCAGATGACCCTTCCAGCACTCAGGTCCTGGCTCCACATCCAAATGCCCCGCTGTGTGTTTTTTCAGTGGGGCTGGATTCAATGGAACCAAATTGTATTGAGTTGGAAGCACAACTCACTTCAAGAAAAGAAATCACCAGTTAAAAAAAATTCTGCTGGGTATCGTGGCTCACGCCTGTAATCCCAGCACTTTGAGAGGCCGAGATGGGTGGATCACCTGAGGTCAGGAGTTCGAGACCGGCCTGGCCAACATGGTGAAATCCCGTCTCTACTGAAAAAACAAAAATTAGCCAGTCATAGTGGCGGACACCTGTGATCCCAGCTACTTGGGAGGCTGAGGCAGGAGAATCACTTGAACCCAGGAGGCAGAGGTTGCAGTGAGCTGAGATCGTTCCATTGCACTGAAGCCTGGTGACAGAGTGAGACTCCGTCTCAAAAAAAGAAAACAAAAATCTCCCAAATCAGCAAAGGCAGCAGTTGGTGAAAGCTGCTCAGATGACACATTTCCTTTCGAAGTGACTCATTGGCAGTGTCTTCCCATCACCCCTGCCCTTCTCAGTGCCACTTTGTGAGCTGTGCATGGAAACAGCTCCATGGGCCAGAAGTTGCCTTTTCCATTTTCCTGGGGAGGAGAATAGGAGCTCCACGGGGCCACCTTGGAAATGGCCTGCCCAGTGCCCAGTTCAAGGTCAGCTGCTCCTCCGCCCACAGTCCTCCCTGATGGGGCTGGGAGGGACCCACCTGTGACATATGCAGTACTGCCGTTGTGATCTACACAGACTCCAGCAGGGAAGCCAGGCCCTGTGCAATCTGCAGCCACATTCATTCTCGCCTCCCACAGGGCAGGGTACTCCTTCCCACCTGTGGATGAGACAGGGCGGCGGTGGGGAGGGTGGTGGCGGAGATTGGGGAACCTGCTCTGGGGGACGGGTCGGCTGACCCAGTCACTGTGGCTGCAGTTGCTTCGCCAACTGGGGCTTGGTTTCTTTATCTGAAGAATGGGAGGAGTAAGAAGTGTGCCAGATGCAGTGGCACGTGCCTGTAATCCCAGGAACCCAGGATCTGCCTGCTAGAGCTGTCGGCGGCGGAGGGCGGGGGGCGCGGAATGAAACAGTGTACAGGAAATGCCTGACTCATAAAACATGCAGGATAAATCACCGTGGTTACCTTTTTACAGTGATGTGGATGAGGATAGCGGTGGTGGTTTTTCTACATCTCAACAAAGAGGCTGAGTCTGACCGTCTTTCAACTCCAGAAGCTTTTCACTTGCTTTTACTTCTTAGGCTAAGCGTAAAGAAATATGCACGCATTCACAAATGCACGGGAGGCTGGGGACAGGGAGTGGTGTCTTAACAGGGATGGATTTTCCTTTTCGGGGAGTGAGACGGTTCAGGCATCAGAGTGGTGGGGAATGACAGCAGTGTGAACATACTTGATACCACTGAACTGTACATTTGAAAATGCTGAAAATTGTACGTTTTATATGATGTATATTTTACCACAGTTAGAAAATGTGCAAGTCATGTACACGGAAAATTATGAAACATTACTCAAATGAAGGAAGAAAATCTGTTTGTTTAAAGCATGCTGTACACATACCCCGTTGTTTCCAAACTCCTCAGTGACCTACTCAGAAAAGGGAGGTGTCCCGGCACATGTGTGCAGTCCCAGGCCCCGGGAGCTAGCTCTGTGACTTTGGGCAGGAGCAGATACCCTGGCCTTGGGCCTCAGACGATAAAGTGAGTCAGTGTGGTCCCTGCCAGTCTGTCCTCATCACTGATACACAATAACACACAGCTACTGTCTCTAGAATTATGTTTGGTGGGATTTAGAATTTGCTCACTGACTTTTCTTTAATGATATTAAAATGAATGTGCAGGTTGAGGAGTTAGTTATAGGTGCACGCCACTACGTCCAGCTAATTTTTGTATTTTTAGTAGAGACGGGGTTTCATCACATTGGCCAGGCTGGTCTTGAACTCCTGACCTCAGGTAATCTGCCTGCCTTGTCCTCCCAAAGTACTGAGATTACAGGCTCGAGTCACTGCTTCTGGCCCATTAAATGTATTTTTGACTTATGATATGTTCACTTTATGATGGGTTTACCAGGACGTAGCCCCATCAAACGTTGAGAAGCAACAAACTTTTATAATAATCCCCCCAAAGTAAAACTCTGCAAGTGAATCCGAGGAGGGGGTCAGCCATAGGTGGCACACTGAGACCACACTGAGTCCCATGGCAAGACCCCATCTCTATCAAAAATACAAAAAATTAGCTGGGTGTGGTGGCACACACCTGTAGTCCCAGCTACTCAGGCGGCTGAGGCATGAGAATCACTTAAACCCGGGAGGCAGAGGTTGCAGTGAGCCAAGATTGCACTGTTAACTCCAGCCTGGTGATAGAGTGAGACCCTGTCTCCAAAAACAAACGAATAAATAAAATGAGTGTGCATGTTGTGATCATCCTCAAAGTGACCCCCCACCCACAGCTGGAGGAGGAAGCAAATCCCCGCAGCGTGGTAGAGGAAACCCAGTGTGGGGCTAATCGTCAGCATCAACAAGCCACGGGGCCTGCATCTGTGGACAAGCCATGGAGCCTACATTTGTGGACAACCTCAAAACCAGGTTGCAGGGGTGCTAGGAGAAGGGGAAAGGGATTGCCTGGAGTTTGAGGCACAGGAAAGAAAGAGGGGGAAAAAAAGGAACATGCCAGAGTCAGAGAAAACGAGTCTGGGTGGCCGGTCCACAGTGCCCTGTTCTGTTTTAGCTCTGCCTATTATATAAACACCACCTCCCAGCCATGTTTGAGATGCAGATGGCAACCGGAGGTTAACCTGGGCAGGTTTCCTTGGACTCCCGGGGAGATGCTTCCGCCTCCAGACTTCCCTAGTCGATGAGCAAACAGCATCGCCAGCGACCAGATGCATGATGACAGCATTGATTGTGATTCTCTCTCCTTTCTCTCTTTTTCTTTTCTTAGAGAGCCCAGAGTGCCTCGGGGAAAATTGGCGGAATAAAAGGTATAAAGACTTTCTCTATTTTTCCTGAATAGTTTCTGACAGATATGAGCATGTTGAACATCTCGGGAGCTTCTGATAATGAAAGCCAGGAGTTTCTGGGGTTTCCTGGCCACCAGAGGGAGGAAGAGTTTGGGGGCTGCGGAGGGAGGCTGGGCGCCGTTTAGCACCTCTGCGTTGTCTTCTCTCTTGTCCCCCATGGGCAACCCCAACATGTGCTGGGAAGGCAGGAATGGAGGGCAGAGGGGCTGAAAGGGAAGTGGATGAATGGGGTAAGGATGGAGGACGATGGTTTTTAGGCGATTCTGGCTGGCCTGTGAAGGAGTATCATGTCCTTCCTGATCCCTTCCCTCCCCCAGCCCCGAGGTCCCCTCACCAGGTGCTCAGTTCTTGGCCACCCATCCCTCAGGCAGCCCCAGCTCGCTGGTCCAGGGTGGTCCGACTCACCTCCATGGCCCGGTCTCCTCGGGGAAGGGGCTTCAGAGATCAGCTCAGTTCCCAGTGTCGACCCTCACTGGGGGACTGGTTGCTACCGCCTGAGCCTGTCAGTCCTTCGCTCTGTACCCCCAACCCTGACTACCCACGTGTGGCTGACCCCCTCCTCGGATTTACTTGCAGAGTTTTACTTTGGGGGGGTTATTATAAAAGTATGATGTTTCTCAACTTTTGATGGGGCTCCGTCCTAGTAAACCCATAGGTGAAAATATTATAAGTCGAAAATGCATTTAGTGGGCCGGGAGCAGTGGCTCGAGCCTGTAATCCCAGCACTTTGGGAGGCTGAGGCGGGCAGATCACCTGAGGTCAAGAGTTCAAGACCAGCCTGGCCAATGTGATGAAACCCTGTCTCTACTAAAAATACAAAAATTAGCTGGGTGTAGTGGCATGCATCTATAATCCCAGCTACTCGGGAGGCTGAGGCAGGAGAGTCACTTCAACTACAGAGGTTATGGCGAGCTGAGATTTCACCACTGCACTCTAGCCAGGGTGACAGAACGAGACTCTAGAAAAAAGAAAAAATGCATTTAATGCCCCCAATAAACCCAACAAACATAAAGTCAAGAAAGTGTAAGTCAATCGTTAGTCAAAGCGTGGTAAGCTGGTGACCATCTGTGATACATATTTATTATGAATAAAATTAGAAAATGCAGGCCAGGCACAGTGGCTCACGCCTGTAATCCCAGCCCTTTAGAAGGCCGAGGTGGGTGGATCAACTGAGGTCAGGAGTTTGAGATCCGCCTGGCCAACAAGGTGAAACCCTGTCTCTACTAAAAATACAAAAATCAGCCTTAGCCGGGTGTGGTGGCAGGCGCCTGTAATCCCAGCTACTCAGGAGGCTGAGGCAGGAGAATTGCTTGAACCCAGGGGGCAGAGTTTCTATGAGCCGAGATCACACCATTGCTCTCCAGCCTGAGGGACAGAGCAAGACTCCATCTCCAAAAAGAAAGAAAAAATGCACTGAATGTCCCCAATAAACCCAACGAACATAAAGTCAAAAAACTGTGAGTCAATCATAAGTCAAACCATTGCAAGCTGGAAACCATCGTCATGTATATTTATTGTGAACAGAGTTGGGAAATGCAGGTTTGCCATGTATCTGCAGCCCTTGGCCCTCAGGTGGCCTCTCTTCTGCTAGCTCCTGAGTTTTGGGTGGTGCGTGCACAAGGCCAGCGTAGTGTTTTTCAAAATCAGGAACAGAAAGAAGAGCCATCAGGGTTAAAGGAGTCGGAAATCATCTTCAGCCAAAACTAGAAAAGTCTGGCAATCTTTTTATACTGCATTTGCCCTAAGCCCACCCTTGGCTTGGAAATGGACACTGAGCAAATGGCCTGGGACTAGAGCTGAGCCAGGTCCTTCTGTCCTAAAAGCTGTGGGGCCACTCAGGGCTGTGGGCAGAGGCGGCTCGGACTCTGGGCTTTCCCAGTTTCCAGCAAGGAGAGGACAGAGAGACAGAGCCCAGGGGTCCCCCACACATGGCATCAGGCTTCCCATGGTGGGCGTGTATAACAGGGTCCCTTCTACCAACTGGCCGCCCAGTGTCTGTCGAGTTAGATGCAGCTCTCTGTGGGAGGAGACAGGAGTGGCACCGGGGCTGGCTTCACAGGCTCTCCCAAGTGTTCACCAGGAGGAGGGCAGCAGCCTTCACACAGCTGCCTCCTGAGATGCCACCACTGTAAACAGAATCTATTTTACAGGGAAGCATCAGAAGGAGCCTCCAGGTGAGTCATTTACAGAATATAAAGATTCCATTTGTGGAATCCCAGCACTTTGGGAGGCCAAGGCAGGCGGATCACCTGAGGTCAGTAGTTCAAGACCAGCCTGGCCAATGTAGTGAAACCCCTTCTCTACTAAAAATACAAAACTTAGCTGGGCATAGTGGCAGGCCCTTGTAATCCCAGCTACTTGAGAGGCTGAGGCATGAGAATCACTAGAACCCTGGAGGCAGAGGTTGCAGTGAGCCGAGATTGTACCACTGCACTCCAGCCTGGGCAACAAAGAGGACTCCATTAAAAAAGAAAAGGAAGAATCTATTTGCACTCTAAGTATTGATGTGGCAATTTGCCTGGCCCTGTAGACTTGGATTTTTGCATGTTTATATTTTAAATAGCTTTACTGAAGTCCAATGGGCGTATGATAAACTTCACATAGAGTGTGCGATTTGATAAGCTTTGATATGTATGGATACCCATGACACCATCACCACAATCAAGATAATGGATATATTCACCACCCCCAACCATTATGTTGTGCCCCTTCCTCATCTCTTCCACACACCCCACCCAATCCCCTCTTACAAGGCAAACAGGGACTCTGCTTCTTGTCACTGTAGAACATTTGCTATTTTCTGGAGTTTTAGATAAATAGATCGTAGCATCTCTAGTCACTTTTTGCTTGGCTTCTTTCACTTATCGTAGTTATTTGGCCGTTCCTCGGTGCTGTCGTGCCTATACATACTTTCTTCCTTGTTCTGGCTGAGTAGTGTTTCACGCCAGGATTGGACTACAGGGCGTTTACCCATTCACTCTTTGGAGGACATTTGGGCTACTTCTCATCTGGGACTGTTGCAAATAAAGCTGCTGGGAATATTTGCGTGCAAGTCTGTGCATGGACATATTCTTCCTTTTCTCATGGGTGAAATGGCTGGATTCCAAGGGAAGTGCATTTTGACTCCAGAAGTAAGTGCCAAACTCTTCCGGAGTGGCCACCTGACTCTGCGTTCCCACCAGCCACGGGTGAGAACAGCAGTTCTTCATCCTCCTCGGCCCTCAGTGTGGCCAGTCTTTATAACGAGCCGTTTGACTAGGTGTGTGGTGGCCGCTCACTGGAGTTTTAATTTATGTTTCCCTAGTGACTAATGATGTTGAGAATCTATTCACGGGGTCATTTGGCATTTATTATGTCTTCTTTGCTAACATGTAAGGAGATTTTTTTTCTCCTGTGCTTTCTCCTAGATGTTCTACAGTTTCAGGTTTTACATTTCATTCTATGATTCATCTCGAATTAGCTTTCGCACGGGGCAAGCTGTGGATTGAAGTTTATTTTTCTGCTTAGGGATGTCCAATGATTTCACTATCACTTGTTAAAAAGATCATCCTTTCCCCCATTGAATTATCCCTGCAGTCTTATCAAAAGTCAGTTGTCAGTGTTTGTGAGTCTGTTCTGGGTTCGATATTCTGTTTCTTGGATCTACTGGTCTGTCCTGACACCAGGCCTCCGACAGCTATTACAGTGATTGTTATGGCTTCACGGTAAGTCTTGAAATCAGGTAATCTTCCTGTTCTTCGTCCTTCTTTTTCAAAGTCGTATGGGCTCTTCTAGGCCCCTTACATTTCCTTATGAATCTTAGAATTAGTGTGTGAATTTCTAAGGAAAAAAAAATGCCAGCTGGGATTTTGATCGGGATTGTATTGAATCTGTAGGTTTGAGGGATTGATATGGTCTGGCTCCATGTCCCCACCCTAATCTCACCTTGAATTGTAATCCCCGGTGTCGAGGGCGGGGCCAGATGGAGGTACTTGGATCATGGGGGCAGTTTTCCCCATGCTGTTCTGGTGATAATGAGTGAGTCTCATGAGATCTGATGGTTTTCTAAGCGTCTGGCATTTCCCGTGCTTGGACTCATTCCCTCTCCTGCCGCCCTGTGAAGAAGTGTCTTCCACCATGACTGTAAATTTCCTGAGGCCTCCCCAGCTATGTGGAACTGTGAGTCAGTTAAACCTCTTCTCTTTATAAATTCCTCAGTCTTACTGGGTATTTCTTCACAGCCGAATGAGAATGGACAAATACAGCCATCACTGACACCTTAGCAATACTGGACCCTCTGACTCATAAACAAGGTATTTCTCTCCATTTATTTAGAACTTCTTTAATTTCTCTCATCAATGACTTGTGGTTTTCAGTGTATGGATTTTACACATCTTTTCTTAGATTTATTGCCAATGTCATTCGTATTTTAATGCTTCTTAAAATGATATTTTTCTTTCCGTTTCTGATTGATTATTGTTAGTGTATAGAAATAAAATAGATTTTTGTACATTGATCTTGTGTCCTGCTAAATCCATTTACTAGTTCTAGTAGATTTTGTGTCAATTGCATCAGGTTTTCTACATAAATGATTGTGTTAACAAAGACAATCTTATTTTACAATAAATACAGCCCCAATGTGCCCGGGGCTGTATTGTTCCTGCTACTAAGGCAAGACTCTGCATGCTCTACCCAGTGCCCCATGAACAGTAAAGAGTTCCCCCTGGTCCAATCTGACTAGTGAGGACTGAGCTACTCCTGGCCCTGTGAGGGTGCTGAGCACTGGGTCCCTAGTCCCTCGTCCCTCCAGGGAGTTCTTGCCTCAGCCTTGGGTGACTTCCTCCCAAGCTTGTGCTGATCAGTGCTCAGCTGAGTGCTCAGTGGGACCCTCTGAGTATCTATAGAGCTCTTTCTCTGTCCAGCTCCTTCTCCCTGCTCTGTCTTACAACTCTAGCCACCTTGTCTCCCCACCTCTCAGCCCTGTCTCCTCAACTCGGGAGTACATGAGGCTTCACGTGGGGTCCCTGCACCTGAAAACTTCCTCCAGTCAGCTGGGACGATTGTGCCACTCCTCTATGGCCAGCGCTGGGGGTCGCTGCACTTCATGGTGTCTTGTTCAGTGTCATGAAAACTATTCTTCAGCTTGTTATTGTTCTAGGAGGCAGGCACATCAGTCCCCATTTCTCCATCTTGACCAGAAGCAGAACACTTTTCTTCGTCACACCAGATCCGTCTCCGCAGTAACTGCCTGGCTGCTGGAACACATCCAGGCACATACACAGGCTGGGCCTGGCCCTTGTCCCTAATCCCCTTCGGGGGAAAGGAGTGAGCGTGCAGGGCTGTCAGAAGCACTCGTGGGCCTGGGACACACAGTCCTAGTGTAGAGACAAACACCTTTGCTTCCCAGGCCTTGAGAAGAGCCTCCTCTCCTCAACGGGGAGCACTCTGCAGGAGCCAGGACTTAGCTCTGGAGGCTTAACAAGGCGCTTCACAGCGTTTCTTCTCAGGAAAATTTTGATTGTAAAGAATAAGGAGAGTTGGGTGCCATAGCTCATGTCTGTAATCCCAGCACTTTGGGAGGCTGAGGTGGGCAGATCTCAAGGTCAGAAGATCGAGACCAGCCTGGCCAAAATGGTGAAACCCCAACTCTACTAAAAAATATAAAAAATTATTGGTGGCACATGCCTGCAATCCTAACTACTTGGGAGGCTGAGGTAAGAGGCAGCAGTTGCAGTGAGCAGACACTGTGCCACTGCACTCCAGCCTGGGTGACACGGCGAGACTCCATCTCAAAAAAAAAAAAACGAATAAGGAGAGAAAGAGAGAGAGAAACAATACCTCCAACTCTCAAAGATTGGGTGGTGGGGAATGTCAGATACCAGGGAGAAGGGAATCTAGAGGCCCCCAGCAAACGTACCAGCCTCTCTCTCACCACGTGCCACTGCGCCTCCAGGTACACCCTCCTCGCCCTCAGTGAGAATAGCTGAAGAGGACCCATGGGAAGCTAAGCCTGCTTGGTGTTCCAAATCACGATCCCTGCACCTGCCTCAGCTGGCTCAGGCACACTCAATCCTTTATCTGGACACAGTATCTCCCACTGACAAGGAGCTTGGACACAGGTTACTGCAAGTGACACCTGCCATCCTGTGTCATCCTTGCAATAGGCCTATTTGGAAGGCAGGAGCAGCGCTGGTGTCCCCATTCTACAGATGAGGAAACTGAGGCTTAGGATGGGTCAGGCATTTGCCCAGGCCCACGTTGGAAGTGGCCAAGGCAAGGCCACAGCCCTCATTGTTCCGGCTTCTTTTCACACTGAGAGTCTCCCTGGAGAGGTCCAGGCTCCCTGTAGGAGACTGCAGATGTCATAAGCTTGAATTTCTGAGCCTACCCCCATCTGTGCCTCCTCATGCCGCCCCAAAGGAGCTCTCTGACCAGTGGGAGACACAGAGGACGCACATGAGCTCTCCTCTCTGCTTTTTTTCTTTTCGTTTCTTTTCTTTTCTTTCTTTTTTTTTTTTTTTTTGAGATAGAGTCTCGCGGTGTCACCCCAGCTGGAGTGTAGTGACACCATCTCAACTCACTGCAACCTCTGCTTCCAGAGTTCAAGAGATTCTCCTGCCTCAGCCTCTTGAATAGCTGGGATTACAGGCATGCGCCACCATACCCAGCTAATTTTTGTATTTTTAGTGGAGATGGGATTTTGCCATATTGGTCAGGCTGGTGTCAAATTCCTGCCTACCTCAGCCTCCCAAAGCGCTGGGATTACAGGCAAGAGCCAACACACCCAGACCTGTCCTTTCTGTTTTGTTTTGGTTTGGTTTGTTTTTTTGTTAAGACAGAGTCTCACTCAGTCATGCCATGGTGCGATCTTGGCTCACTGCAACCTCTGCCTACTGAGTTCAAGCCATTCTCCTGCCTTAGCCTCCCAAATAGCTGGGATTACAGGCACACACCACGAGGCCCAGCTAACTTTTTGTATTTTTAATAGAGATGGGGTTTCACCATGTTGGCAAGGCTGTTCTTGAACTCCTGACCTCAAGTGATTTGCCCGTCTCAGACCTCGCAAAAAGCTGGCATTACGGGCGTGAGCCATCGTGCCTGGTCTTCTCCTGTCCTTTGAGAGACCATTTCCACTGTCACAGTTGCTAGCGTCCTAGCTTCATAGGACTGCACGGCTCCTGCCTCACCAGAGGGTTCTGTAATACGCGTCAGGTGGTAGGAGTGCTTGGTGTACACATGCATGTGTTTGGGCTAGTGCATCAGTTCAGCTTCTGTGGTGGGGGAAATAAAGAGATGCCCCAGAATGTTGACCACAAAGGGTTAACGCAAACTCTCAGCCACGTCTGACTCTGAGAAGGCCAAAGCTGCTTTGCTCCACATCAGGGATGCAGCGTGGGCACTGCTTGCTGGCAAATCAGCTCCCAAACTCTCAGGTTCTGCATCGCAGAACCAGAAGAGGGTCCCTGGTGTCTCCCTTGGCTTTCTGGATATATCCAGCTGGGTGGTTTTGTGCTACCCATGAAAGCAGCAGGGCATTAAACATTTGAGCTGGGATCGGAGGAGAGCAGAAAGAAGTCTGTGTGTGTGCGTGTGTTTGTGTGTTTGTGTGGAAGTATAAAAACCCCGCGCCTGTGTTCTCCCCAGAGTATTAATTACAGCTGGAGAGGAGACTTGTCCAGGCGTGTTCCGCTTGGGCAGAGTAATTTCTCCCTGGTTTTCGGGGAGCGGGAGGCGTCACGGTGCAGAGAGCAGGACACACACCTCTCTCCCCGGCTTCATGGCCACCCGGCCTGCTCTGGAGCGGACAGCTTTGCCAAGGCCTGGGCCAGAGGGAATGCAGAGAGCCTGCAGATAGGGCCAGGGAGGACAGGCAAGATAGTGAGCCCTTGACAGAATCCCACCTAAGACAGAACAGGCAACAAGAGAGGCCTGTGAGCGGCTTAGGAGGAGGAGGAGGCCCAGCTCCCTGTGATGGAGGAAGGGCAGGGAAGACATGAGCCCCCAGCCAGCCTGGCTGCCCACACCTAGGTCCTTCTGCCCCTGCAGGCCTTGCACTGATGCCAACTGCCGGAGGGATTCACAGGGGAAGGGGGAGGTCCACAGAGAAGGCCGGTGTGATCCCTATTGGTGTCTGAAAAGCTGCAGTACCTATCTGCTCCCTGCTAAGCAAAGTGGAGGACCCTGCACAGTGATGGCTACAATTCAGGACCTCGCTGGCCTCGGCATGACCAACACAGAGGCCCGAGCACACCTTCCCCTGCCCTGGATTCCTCCCAACCTCGCTGGACACTGAGGCCACCTGCCTGCGTCCCTGGGGCTGGTCGGGGCCTCCCGGAGTGCTTGGCCTCTCGGCCATCTCATGTGTCCAGTTACAAGCCATAGAGCAGAGGGTGCCCCTGCCAGTCAGTCTCCCCACGCCGCCAGTTCCAGGCAGCCTCCCCATGCTGCCAGCCCCAGGCAGGTGACCGTGAGCCAGGCCCCGTGCTGAGTCCTTCTCGATGGCAGAGTCCTCAGTGGCACGAGTGACCTGTTCCTCTTGTGAGCACACACGACATGCTGGAGATGCAGAGGAGCCGGACACAGCCTCTGCCCTGAGTGAGCTCAGGCTCAAACAGCACTCGCCCCTCCCGGGGGTGGGCTGGATTTCTGACATCCATGGGGCACCTGTGTCTGGTCTATGGGATTAAAGGACACCAGCCCAGGAAGAAAAGGGGAAGGCACTCAGAAACTGAGGCCCAACCTGCCTCTGCAGGTGTTCCCGGCCGGCCACTGCTTCACTGCGTCTCTCGGGACTTACTTTGTCTTACTCTGCTGGAATGAGCCCCTGGGGACTCAGCACACAGAACTGGTGGTCTCAGCCAAAGCCAGCAAGAAGTCTCCGTGGCTCCTTTGCTGGGAGTCTAGCCTGCCAACTGGCTGGCGCTTGCAGATGAGTTAGAGGGAGAGGGAAGGAGGGAGAGTGAGAAGGGAGCGAGGCAGGGTTGGAAGCACCGCAGCCTTCTGCTGCTTCTGCAGATGCTCCGTGCAGGCCAGAGTGAGAGGTCACTGTCCAGAATGCTGAGTGGGTTCCCCCAGGCCTGCCAGGTCCCAGAGCCTCCCGAGCAATCTGGGAGAGCCAGAATCTGTCCTTATCCCGTCTCACGCTGGTGGAAAATTTACCAGCCTCGAGCTCCCTCTTTCCTAACTCACATACCTGCAAATGCCCATGTCCCTTGATTAGTGGTGACTTTTTTATCCAGTACCTGTGTGCCAGACCCTCCCCCTTGGTGATTGCTAAACCACCATAATCACCCCAGGAAGGTAGATGTTGCCATCCCCACTCTACCAAAAAGGGAACAGAGGCTCAGAGAGGTTAAGTAATCTCCTCAAAGCTTCCCAGCAGGACAGCAGCTGGTCTGGAATTTGAGCTCAGGTCTGAGTGTTGCCACATCCTAGGCTCCTGCCCTGCAGAGTGCTGCCCAGGGCACGCTGGGTGCAGTCACAGACCCCATGCATTCTCTTGGCCACGGTGGGAAGGATAGACAGCAGGCGACTGCTAATCAGGCCAGGAAGCCACCCCCACCTCCCCGTGAACAGCAGCCCTCACAAAATCCTCAGGCTGAGCGGAGATAGTCGTGAGGTTCATCTTTAGACACCTGGCCCACCTCTTGTTCAGGGAATGCGCTGCTGGGGGTGATGCTAGAACTGCAAAACTCCAAGTTGGACCATGCTCCTCCTCTGCTCCAAATCCTCTTGTGACTCCTACTTCTCCTGGAGAAAGGCCAAAGTCCTCACAGTACCCTCCCATATAAGACCTCCTATGATCTGACCACCTGTCCCACTGCTGCCTGCTCACTCTCATTACTCCAGCCCATGGGCCACCTCACTGGTTCCCTGAATAACTAGACACATCCCCATGATGTGGAACGCCCTCTGCCAGGGGTATTTTTTGCTGGAATATTCTCCCTAGAGAGCCTGAGATCCCCTTCTTTGGACTCATCCAGATGGGCCTGAACATCACCTCATCAGTTACGCCCACCCTGACCACCTGGCTGAACACTGCAGCCCCCTCCTCTGCCCTCCCAGACCCCCACCCTACTTCCCCCGCCACTATCACCCTTTGACATGCAAGAGGATTTTCTAATTAATTATGTTTGTTGATTTTCCTCCCCGGTACAGGATAAAGCACCGGAGGGCAGGAAAGTTAGCCTGTTTGGTTGAAAGCTGGGTCCCTTGTGTGGAACAGCGCCCAGCCTGCAGTTGGCACCCCACACACATTTGTGGATTTGTTGATGAGGCAGAAGGGACCCAGCAGCCCCCTGCCCAGTTGGGGTCCATTGGTCCTCGAGGCACAGACACACACTTCCCTTGGCTACAAGGAGTTCCAGAGTCAATCCAGCAACCAAGCACCCAGCTGAGCACTTACAGAATTGATCCAGGGGGCCCGATGCGTGGCTCACACCTTTAATCCTAGCCCTTTGGGAGGCCAAGGCCGGCAGATCACTTGAGGTCAGGAGTTTGAGACCAGCTTAGGCAACATGGTGAAACCCTCCCTCTACTAAAAATACTAAAATTAGCCAGGTGTGTTGGTGCATGCCTGTAATCCCAGCTACTTGGGAGGCTGAGACATGAGAATCTCTTGAACCCGGGAGGTGGAGGTTGCAGTAAAGCCAAGATGGTGCCATTGCCACTCCAGCCTGAGTGACAGAGTGAGACCCTGTCTTAAACAAAAAAAGAATGGAGTGGGGTAAGAGCAGTGCTGGGGAGGGGGCTGGCCAGTGAGTGATGCCCGGGGAGGGAGCTTGAGACTGGGAGATGGCCGAACTTTCCAAAGGGGAAGAGAGGCTGACAGTGCGTACCATGTGGGCTGTGTACTTGCTGGTCTCCTTTCATTGAGGACTGGATGATAGGGGCGTGTTTCTCGGAGGTGACGTGTGAATGGTCAAAGGGCACTGGCTCCTGGGGTGTCTCTAACGGTGTGCCACAAGCCTCCGTTCTCAACCCCGTCTTAGTCACGCCTTTTGCCGGCGGCTTATGTAACCTGTTAGTAGGTGTGATGATCAAATTGTGATCGGTCTGCTGATGAGAGGAATAGCTAACAGTTCGCCTGGTCTGCAGCCTAGCGCCAGAGGTGCGATTAACTATATGTAACAAGTCTAACTGTAAAATCTTGCTCTGAGTTCCAAAAACACTAGTGGGATGAGTACAGGAGGAAGAAGACTTAGGGGCTACCATTGATCACAACTTCAGGACAGTTAGAGAGACTGGAAGACTATCCTTCAAACTGGAGCGCTGTTAACCATTACGGTGTAAACCAGTCGTGTCCCGGGAAACCCGGATGCATCGTGACTCCAGGGATAAGTGGCTGCCATCCAAAGCTGCTTCTGTTTAGATGGCAGAGGTGAGGTCTGCTCCCAATCACTGGAAGGGATCCCTGGACCTCAGAGCCACCTGGAATGTTAGGTTCACCCTGGAGTTCCCAGCCAGGGCCAGGAGATATTTCGTAGCCAAGTGGAAAAGATGAGGTGGATGTCCAAACACACCCTAAGGGAAACGGCCCCAGGTACCAGTTCTGTGTGCCCAGACCAGGAAAGAGCTGGTTGGTCTGTCTTGGAAAGTTCAAGGGCCCGCCTGGCCTGTGGAGGAGGAAGGCCACGCAATGCCTGTGGCCTCAGATGGTGGAACTAAGATCAGCAAGGAGAGTCTGGAGGAGATGAATTTCAGGCTGCTTAAAAGAACTTCTGAAGGTGACAGCTGGCAGCCAGGGGGTGGGCCCCCTGAATTCTCTGTCCTTGGTCCTTGGAGGCATCCATGGTGGGGAGGCTGCAGAGGAACTTCCTGTGTCCTGGGAGGGGAGGGGCCAGGTGAGTCTCAGGCTCTTGCTGGCAGTCCTGCCTCGGTGGCCACTGTATATTACTGTTTGGGAAGAAGAATCTGCCCAGAGACTCTTTCGATCAGGACACACGCAGAGAGTGGGCGAGGTGTGCGGGAGGCAGCATTCGCATGGCCTTCCCTCAGCCTGCCGCATCTTCCCTTCTGCTGTCTCTCTCTGCCCCCCAATAGACACACCTTCGCCTTGTTCCTCCTGGCCCCTCTCTCGATGCTGAGGTGGATTTTCCCTTCCTAAGTCCCCTCTCCTGCTGCTGAATTATTGAAAGTGTTGTTTGCTTTATCGCTGTGCTGGGGTAAGGGACACTGCCGCAGAGCAGCTGAGCTTGGAATGCATCGCTGGCCCAGGACAGCTGCCCAGGCCACAGAATCCCTTCCCCAGAACCCCTCGGTGGGGGAGCATCCTGCACCCCAGCCCCACTTTCTCCTCCTTCATCATTATTTATTCATAACTGCTGGCTTTCTGACCAGACATGCGGCATCCTGCCACGTCTCAAGCCACCAGCCTAGAGGGCTGCAGGCAGAATGTGCAGCAAATGTCACCACCTGGCCCAGGTACAGGGTCGGGTCTCTGTGCTGGGGTCTACAGGGACCAGCTGAGACCTCCAGGGCATGTATGGAAGTGTTCTGTCCACTGGGGGTTGCCCCAGCGGGGCTGCCACATTGGTACATTTCTAGAGAAAGGTACATTTCCTGCATGCAGAGGTGTGTGTGTGATCACACACGCTATGCAGCTGTGTGTGTGTGCAGGAGATATCAGGGCATCCATGCATGTATGTGTCCAGATGTACATGCAGCTGTGTATGGGGGGGAGTCGTGCGTGTGTGTGTGTGTGTGTGTGTGTGTGTGTGTGTGTGTGCAGGGGATATCAGGGCATCCATGCATGTGTGTGTCCAGATGTACACGCAGCTGTGTGTTGGGGGGCGTCATGTGTGTGTGTACAGATACACGTACAGTTGCATGTGTGGTCTGCTGTTGCCCCATGTCCACTCCAAGTGTGGATTTTTAGAGCAGAAACCCTGGAACTTAACTTGACAGAGGTCTTGCCTGTGAGCTCATTTCTCTGGAGAGGGTGATGGAGTGGCCACCCTAGAACTTAGAGGATCCAGGAGACAGGCAGCTTGCTCAAGGCAGACACGCCATATGGGCAGGACCCCAGTGCATGCAGGAAAAGGTAGCACAACCACACCTCCACACCCCAAAGGCGCAGCCTGGGAGATTCACCACTGTCTTCTCAGACCCTCCAGACTGGAGCCCAGGGGCACAGGATCCAGAGGAAACTGCTTCTTTCTCAGCTGTCCTCTCTAAAGAGCAGCCCACCCCTCGCTCGGCCACCTCTTCATTCTCTATTCAGCCCCACAGCCAGCATTTGGGCATTTGCACCATGCTGGCCACCTGAACATAACAGGTGTGGCTGAGCCTCTACCCTCTAGGAGCTGCCCATGTGCCCAGGGCAGGGCCAGCCCAGTCCACATGCAATGACCAGGCCGTGTGTGAGGGGACAGGAAGGAGGGGCTCACGACCATCTCTGGCAGGCACTGCCATCCTGTGAGCTTTCTGAGCCCAAAGCTCAGCTTTCTGGACATATGCAGGGGGAAATGTGGCTGCAAGGGGCCACAGAACACCACCCAGAGTCTCCAGTGCAGGGGATTGTGCCAGCTCAGGCTCCCCAGACCTCTAGCCCTTTGAAAAGAACAGGAGATAGGAACTTCCCCAAGCAACCCTGGAGCAGGGCTGGCCCTGCCGCCCCAGTTTGGACATGAGGACACTGAGGCAGAGAGCAGTGACGCGGCCCACAGCCTGCAAGGCTGGCAGCAGCAGGCTGGGTTTAGATGGATCTCAGGCCTCTGTACCTTCTGGCCAGGGCTGCTTCCTTGGCATGAGCTGGCACAAAGTGTTTGATCCCCAGGGAGCCATAAAGGTCCTTAGACCTGCTAGAAATCAGGCAGCAGGTCCCTAGGGCATCGGCTCTGGTGGACACCTGCTTTCCCACCCCCGCAGTGTTTGTGGCTGGTGGAGGTTTTCGGGCAGTCTCATTCTAGAGCTTGCAATGTGAGCAGAGGATGCTCTGCCTTCTGGTATTCCTCTCATACTTCTGCCCTCTGCACCCTCCCCATCTGCACCCCCACCCTTGCCCGCTTCCACCAGGCATCTGTGTCAGCCCCACAGACTCAAAGCTGAAGATGCTGCCTGCATCCCGGCGCTGCCCCTGGGCTTGCCCAGCCAGGGAGCTATGGGTGGGGGCCTTGGAGGGGAACCAGAGAGCAGAGCCAGAGGCTCCAGTGGCCGACCCCCACCTCCTCCTTCCCAGCTGGCCCTCCTTCCACTCAGCCAGGTCCCCAGTGGAGGAGTGACAGGGTGGGGGACCTGTGTGGATCTGGGGTGAGCACTCCCTGAGGACGATCGTGAATTCGCCTGGACCCCACCTTACCGCAGCTGGACACGGTTGGGTTGGGAAACCCAAGTCACCCTTCAGGGAAAGGAAGTCCTGGGTGTTCAGTCTGGGGCTGGCCCCTGAGGCCACCAGCCCAGGGCCAAGGGGGACAGGGCTCTCCAGAGGGAAGAGTGGAAGCATGAGAACTAGCAGAGCAGGGGCGTCGGACTCCTCACAGCCGCCCACCCTCAGCCCCCAACATGAACGGGCCTCTGGGCCTCAGTGTTTCTTGTTGGAAGAAACTCTGAAAACCATAGAAAGAAGTCTCTCTCATCTCTTCAAAGAGCAGGTGACAGCACACGGGCTCTGGCCCTCAGGCCGATGGTGGAGCGGCCTCCCCACCTGGCCCTGGGGCTGGGTCACTGGGTGTATGCAGCACATGGGTGGCACTGGCCAGAGACAATGGGCTGTAAGCAAGGCAGGTTGGCTGGGAGGCTCCTGTCCACACAGCTCAGCCAGCATGGGCCTTTCAGCAGCGCTAAGCAGAAATCCCCACTGCAGGGCGGTGAGTCCCCAAAGGCCCCGGCCCCCAGCAGCATGGGTTAGTGGAGAAGGCACCCAAGTCCCTCTTGGATAGGGCGTCCTGGAAAATGCTGAGGCAGGACAGACGTTAGACGCAGACTCTCCGGCAGGCGGCCCCACCTCCCTGCAATCCACCCTCTCACCCCCACTGCACCCAATGCACATTCAACTTCTGCGCCTTGTCTCTGATTGGCCCATGCTCCAGGCCTAGAGAGCTGCGCCACCCCACCTCTGCAGAAGCTGCTCCTCCTCTCTCCCTGCTGCTCCAGACTGGGGGCTGGGGTCTCCAGGCAGTGTTACCTCTCCATCACTTCCAAATCTCATCTCCCACCATCTGAAGCCAAGAGAGGCCTTCCGAGAATTGTACTAACCTTCAGTGAAATGTCCTCCCCATCCCTGTCCCCATCCCGTCTCCATTCCAGTATCCGTGAGATCTGCCAGGCTGGAAGGTTTGTGCCACCCGCCCCCCACCCCCCCCTGTGTCCCCTCCTTGGCGAGCGCTGGAGTTAGGACACTGTAGCTCAACTCCGAGCAGAGATCTGGACAGCAGAAATGTCCAGGATGGGGCAGTGCCAGGCAGGACCCCATCGATGAGCGAGCAGAGAGCAGGCAAGGAGCTGAGCAACCTGGGGAAATAAACCGACAGAGGCAGAGACACAGGGAGGGGTAGAGGACCTAGAGTGAGCAGGAGCGAGCTGGAGGACCCAGAGTGAGCAGGAGCGAGCTGGAGGCAGGGAAGAGAATCGCACTTGCTAAGACAGCTGCAAGTGACAGCTAAACTGAGCGCCAGTGTGGGGGGACCGAACCCCCACCCCACCAACCTGCCTCCAGCCGCTGCTCCCCTGATTGGGTCTTGTCCCCGCCTCCCCAGGAGCCTGCCGTGGAGCCGCAGTTCCAAAATGATGATGTATTTTTGGGTATGTACCAAGCGTGGACTGCGTGTTGCTTTTTCACTCTGGGCAGATCTGGGGCTGAGATGTTGGGAGGGTCAGCGTGCCCACACCCCCCCGCCGCCGTGCCTCCCCAGGCCATGCCGGCCTTTCCCCCAGGGCCCAGCAGGCAGGGGTGCAGTCGGAGGTGTCCCCAGGCAGGGAGCGCTCGCTGGCTTTCGGCCACTCTTCTGGGTGGGCCTCGGATGTAGAAGGTGGGGCTGAGACAGGGGGCTGCGCCCAGGCTCCAGAAATGCCGGCAGGGGTTACGCTAGCCCAGCCCTCTCTGGGCGATTCCTCGGCCTGGTCTTAAAGGAAAACCTTGGCAAATTCCCCCAGCCCAAACTTTAAATGGCTCCCAGGAACCCAGCACACCAGCCCCAGCCCCACGAGCTCCCCTCCTCCTTATCCTGCACCTTTACTCTTCCCCTTCCCATTCAAAATCAGGTGTGGGAAACTGGACCCTGGGAAGGAGGAAAGGATCACCCTGCTAGGCGGAGCCGGCCTCCCGGGGCTCTGAGCCCAGACAGGAGCAGCTTGCAGAGGTCCTGGGGAGAGGAAGTGCCCCCACCCTTCGGCCTCCCCCACCTTCCTCTGCAAGCCCCTGTGCCTTTTGGCAAAGGAAATGAAAGAACAGAGTAGGGGTGGGAAGGGGCAGCACCTGACAAGGCCAAACAGGAAGGGGCCTCACTGTGAGGGGAGGACCAGGCCATCCTAATTCAGCTGGGCAGAACTAGGAGAAGGAAAGGTTTAGGGTGTGTGTGTGTGTGTGTGTGTGTGTGCACATGCTCACACTTTGGAGAAGGCTGCATATCCCGGGATCATCAGCCTCTAGGCTTGCACAGAGGTGGTTTGGAAATCGTGAATTTCCTGTGCTTTCCATGTAGGGTGAGTGTCTCCCCTGGCCCAGCCAGCAGCCTCAGCCCAGGAACACGACCCAGGCAGGGGCCACCCATATCCGGGTACCTCTTCCTCCAGGTTGCCCTCCCAGGTCCAGACATGACCTGCTCTGCAACTGGGACTCCCCAGCCACAGTCCAGCCCTGTCACCAGGAGGAGGACTCAAGGTCCAGGAGCCCCACTGGGAGAGCCTGAGCCTGCACAGGTGCCTGTGAGGCCCACACCAAGCAGCTGGACCATGGGCCAAGCAGGGGTCTGCAGAGCAGGCTGAGGCTTACAGAAGCCACGGCAGCCTCTGAGAAGGGCTGATGGCCCCCGGGAGTCTGAATGGCCATGGTCAGGCTCACCACCTGTCACCCCACAGGCTGAGCTCTGCTGACTTCGCTCCCATTCAGGGCAAAATTGGGGCCAGGTGCCCCAGCCTCCGAGTCTGCACAAAGGCCTTTGTTCCACCAAGAATGTCCTGACATGTCCCACCAGTCCCCCTCCTCATTCTTCAAGGCCAGCCTCAGGGGCCACTTCCCCAAAAACATTCCCTGAACCCACAGGCAGAATGGACTACTGTTTCCCGGCCTCCCCCATCTCAGCTCCCTGTCCTGACCTGGCATATGTGAGCTGGCCCAGGAGCCCCTTCAGAGCCCGGAGGGGGCTTCCCTCTCTGGTGGGGGTCTGGTTGCCTGGCTCCTCTGGGGGTCTGGCTCCCAGAATGCCCCCTCTCCCCAGCAGAGGTTCTGCCTGTCCTCAGCCTTGCTCAGCCAAGCCCTGGGGCCAGGCCAGGCTCCTCTGCTGTACCTTGCAGGCTATTTAGGATGGGGTGGAACCTGATCAGGAACCTCATCTACCCGGGAGCCAGCTCCCCAGCTCCACTTCCAGGCTGGGATTCGGAGCTGGACAGAGAACCGGGCCCCCACAGAAGGACCCTCCTTCTCGCCTGCTCTCCCTCCCTGAGCCATGTCACCACCCCAGTGTGGGAGACGACACCGAGACGCTGCCACCCGCCAGGCCCCCTCACAGCCTCACCAGCGCCATTCCTGTTGTCCACCTGGTGCCCACACACTCCTCAAATTCACACTCAAAACGGAGCCTTGAAAATTGCTGTTTCCTTCAGATTGTCTCCTCCATCCTTGCCCTGCCCATCACCAGTGGGTGCCACCATCTGCCCGACCCCAGCTCCTGGGGTGGGTCCTGCCTCCCTCTTGCCCACCCCCAACTTCCCACTCAGCTTCCAGGCCCATCCCCAGCCCCACCTGCCCCAACCAACAAGGAGCGCCAACTTCTCCCCACCCTGCCCTCTCAGCTCCACCTCACCCGCACCTCCTTCCAGCCCTTCCCTAAGCACCGTGGGCCAGCCAAGCTGAGCTGCTCCAAGGTAAATCCCAACATCTGCCGTGTTCTCCCTCAGGCTTGTTCCACCTAAAAAAAACTCCCTCCCTCCCACCCTACCCCCCTTAGCTGGCTCCTGCTTAACTTCAGAGTGAGCTTTCAGGCAGGGGGACACTAGGGGCTGCTGCAGGCATGGAGTCAAAGGCTGCTTAGCTGTCACCATCTCCAGGAAGCCCTCCCAGAGCATCCCGCAGCCAATGTCATTTCCCCCTCTGCACCCCTGCCCTCATCCTTGGGTGCTCCTGTTACCGTTCACCCCTCCACCTCCCCTCTGCCGGTAGCTCCCTTGAGCTCCCTTGCCGGGTCTTATTCAGTTCTTGTTCCACGTACCTGCTCTGTGTCTGATGTTTGGCTGAGGTTCTGGGAACCCTGAACAGTGAAATGAATAAGTGACTGAATAAGGAAATGAGTCTTCCGAGTGCAGGAAGGGGCCTGGCCAAGGTGTTCCCTGCAGCAGTGGCTCTGTAGGGCTCCCCACTCAGGTGCAGCCTCCTCTCCCATCCCCGAATGAGCATGTCTTCACCTCCTATGGGCGTAGCTTTTCAAGTGCAGCACTGGAGATATTGCCGCTCCCGTTTCCAAACTGGCAAAAGTTGTGGCCGATGATTTCTGTGCTTGTGAAGGGGGGGCCTGGCCTTGGCAAAGCAGGGGTTGGGTGCAGGGAGGAACCTGCCCCAGGCCCTTTCAGCTTGGTGGTGTAGGGAGGCAAGAGGGGGTGTGGAGGTCACTGCGGTTCTGTGAGAGAGGCCCGAGGTGGGGGGCCTGCCTGCTTTGGGGGCATCTCTGCCTTTGGATGGTTCATCTGGGGACACCCCCTGGAGGAGGGCTACCACCCCGACAGGGAGACAGGGGTCTGGGGGGTAAAATGGCTCCTGGGGTCTGGACAGTAGGCCCAGTGCTAGAGGCAGGGGACTCGTGTTCCTCAGGCCTTCCCTGGGATCTGGCTCTGCCACTCGGCAGCTGTGTGACCCTGGACAGGTCGCCAGGTCTCTCTGAGTCTCCGGTGGCTCCTCTGTAAAGTGAGATCGCAACGCCAGTGTGCAGGCTGGGTGAGAATTACTGTTTGCATGTTCCATGCCCGGTCAAGCAGGACAGGGATATTTGCCAGCAGGACGGGGGGACCCCAGGGTGAGTGGGCACGAGACTCTTGTCACCCACCTGGGTTCTGCTCACTGCCACAGAGAAGCCCACACCAGCTATGGGGCCTGTGCTCTTGGTCTGGAGGGCCACAGTACCTTCCTCCCTGCAGGAGATGGGTTCAGCCCCACGTGCTTCTCTTCTTCCTCCTTTTCCACACTCCCAGCCCCTGGCCTCATGCTGGTCCTGCCTCTAAGCTGCTCCTGGAACACCCCGCCCCTCCTTCCTACCTGCCCCCAGTCCATCTCTGCTCCAGGCCCTCCAAGTGGTCCCAGCCCAGGAGACCCCTCCCCGCCTGCTGTGTGGTCTCCGCCTTCTTCTGTCAATGGCCACCACTTTCTCACGTGGACCACATGTCCTAAGAACATGGCACACGGCAGAGACCATTGTGGCTCTCAGAACCTCCTCACAGATGGCTCCTCAGCTCACCTCACCAACACCGGGGAGGCAAACAGACTGGGCTGCTCTCCCCACGAGGAGCCACAGAGGTGGCAGGGATGTATTCAGGTCACCAACTCAACTGTGAGGTCCAGAACAAGAACCAGGCCTCCAAAGCCCAGTCAGTTGCATCTTGACCCCTGCTGGGCCAAGGACCCTTGGGGACAGGGGACAAGTGCTGGACCCCTGGGTGATCCCAAGACCATCAGCTCCAGCCCTGCCCCTACTGCTTGAGAGGCTACCGGATTAAACCTGACACCGGCTCTGCCCTCCATTCGGGGAGCCCTCAGGATGACATCCAAATGCCTACACCAGTGTCCACAGCCGCTAATGGCTTCCCACTGCCTTAGAGAGAAAAGCAAAGGACACGCTGAGCCCGGCCATGTGACCAGCATACACCAAGGTGCTGAGTGCTTCGCTTCAGGGCAGGCTGAGAGAGGGCTGTGCCCAGCATGGCATAGCTGCCCACAGCAAAGCCAGGCATGGGGACACATTCCTGCTGGGCCTCTGCCCCGACATCCTCCCCCGGCCCCACCCCAGGCCTTGTCCTACGTCCAGCCCTGCACAGCCTTTGGGGACCAGTTTGTTCCCCCACTTGCTGTTCCTTGCCCTTCCCTCCCATCTTCTGTGAGTCCCTGCACACCAGGGCACCTGCCTTACCCAGGGCACTGGCAGACGGTGAGCCCCATGTGGGCAGGAAATGAGGCTGAGCGGTCGGTGGTTCCAGCAGTACCCTGGAAAGGGGAGAGCTTGGCAAGGACTCAAGGAGCAGATGGAGAAGGAAGGGAGGTTGGCGGGAGGCAGGGAGCATGTTGACAGTGGTACGTTCTCAGCATGGCAGAGCAGGGACCACGCCTCTGAGCATGGGCAGGGCACTCTCCAGAGGTGGCTCCTACCAGGGAACATCCATGGGTCTGGAAACCAGTGTGACTCTTCGGTTGACAGGGGCTGCAGCCCAGAGCAAAGGCTCTCCCTGCCCTCCACAGCCTCAGTACTGCTGGGCTCAGCTCAGAGCTGCAGGAGGGCGGCATGTGCAGTTCAAGGCCTGGGAGCTTCTGCCGGGGCCCTGCAGCGGCCAGCACCTCCCTCTTCCCCCAGAGCCTACCGGATGGGACAAACAGATGGTGCTGGAAGACAGCCTGGGGCGTGTGAAAATCTCTCTGCCCAGGAAGGGGAAGGGGAAGGGCAGGGAGCCCGCGTGGGCTAGTGTCACTCCCCAAAGCCCTGCAGCCACCAGGTCTTTCAGGGGCAGGAGAGACGGGTGTGGGGGCAGCACCAGTGGGTGGCTTCATAATTGACCGGCACCAGGCAAAGATGCCAAAGCAGAGCATCTCCAAATTAGCAGTAATTGCCAGAGAAATAAAGAACAAACAGGGTGAGCTGAATGAGGCTTTCCATAAATATTATGTTTTTTAAAGTTTGCCCTGGAGTAATAGAAGCTGTTTAAACGCTAATATCCTGTCTGTGCATTTAAAAAGCCTTGTAATGAGGATTGAGTGTCTGTTTCCTAGGGCCACCTAGTACTGGAGCCCCCAGGCCTCCGGCCTCTGCTCCTTGGTTTCCCAGATGGCCGCCCTCCCATGAGTCCGGAGAATACCCCTCACCTGGTCCAGACCCCGCTTCAGCCCCACCTGGGAGCCTAGGCCCCTCCTGCCTCTCCCTGGACAGCCAGAGCCAACCCCTCCTGCTTCCTCTGAGACCCCAGATGTCCCTGCCACTTGCCCTGCCCTATGGAGCCCCTCTTCCCCATTTCTTCTTCTCCTCCCTGGGTGCCAGGGTGGGTGGGCAGCAGCATCCTCCCAGTCACACTGATCCAGTGTGTTCGCCTCACTATCCTCTAGAAGAGAGCCCCACACCCACCTGCGGGCGGGAGAGCTTGTCTAACTAATGACGAGACAGGGCTTTCCTCCAGGAGGCCCCTCCACAACCATGTCTGATTTTTATTAAAAATCATTAAGCAAAGTGTTTTTCCATGCCGGCAACCAGCACAGCCACTTTCCCATTGTGAGACAGCCCTGTGCATCGACAGAGAGGTAGACTTTATCAGGGGCCTGGAACCCACGGTGGTAAAGCTCTGGTGAGGGCCACTTCCCAGAGAGAGGTCCATCATGGGTCACCCAAGAAGCTCACTTAATCCGTTTATTTCAGCCCCTCCGGCCTGGGCAGGGCAGTGCCATGCGAGGGTCGGCTGTGGCCCGCTGGGCCACCCAACATCCGCCCCGGCACCACCTCGAAAACAGAAGCAGGTCTGATCTGCTGAGCGTTTCGGGGCTGTTGCCACAGGTCACAGGCAGCACTCAAGGTCCTGGCTTCCTCCACATCCGCAATTCCCAAAACCCAGCGGTGCCCAGTACAGAGTGGCGGGGGAGACCCTCTGGGCTTGTGCATGGGGTGTGGCCGGCTGGAAAGTCAGGTTTCCCGTGACATTCGCAGCCCGTCATCCTTGGAGTACACATGTTCGCAAAGTTATATCTGGTAGGGGTTGAAGACAAGAGGAGAGATTTGAGCCATCAGTCGGTCAGCGTTGTTGGCGGTGCCGAATGGATACACCCTATAAGGTGCAAAGTGGCCTGAGCCGTAACAGTCCCCAGGAAGGCTCAGGATGTCCAAGATGGAAGGACTTGGGAAATCTCACCAAGCAACAAGCGTGTGGGTAAAGGGGAGGGCGGGGAGGGTAGGGCTGTCCCTAGAGGAGGAACCTCTGGACAGCAGGACGGGAGGCAGGGAAGGAGAGGACCAGCCGTTGCCTTTGGCCCTCATCTCACCCTGCCCCATCTGGCTGTTGCTGGACTCAGGTCCCGGTAGCTGATGTGGGTACATATTTTGGGGGCTTGACACTGCTGGGCAAGGCCTGGACTGCTGGTGAAGACACAGCTTCCCTTGCAGCAGAATCCACAGGCACGAGGATGCAGGTGCTCCCCCAAGTCCTTCCTCTTCCTGGGTGAGTTGAGGGCAGAGAGGCGGGGGAGCCACCTGCTCCCACAACACCACCCTAAACCCTTGACTCTCTCACAAGAGAAACGGGAACTTTAACCTTTTTTTCACTGTCATTAAAATATTCATGTCCAGGCTGGGTGTAGTGGCCCACACCTGTAATCCCAGCACTTTAGGAGGCCGAGGTGGACAGATCACTTGAGGTCAGGAGTTCAAGACCAGCCTGGCCAATATGATGAAATCTGTCTCCTCTAAAAATACAAAAAGTCAGCCAGGCATGGTGACGTATGCCTGAATAATCCCAGCTACTCAGGAGGCTGAGGCTGGAGAATCGATTGAAACTGGGAGATGGCAGTTGCAGTGAGCCGAGCTCACACCACTGCATTCTAGCCTGGGCAACAGAGCCAGACTCCAACTCAAAAACTGTAGCTGAGAGGACATCTGTTTCTAGACCCCAGGAAGTTGGCTGGGCGTCCTAAGGGAGGAAAGGAGCCTGGCTCCTGTTTAGAGGCTGACACTTTCTCCTCTTCCCCTGACCCTCCCCCACAGCCTGCTTTTCTCATTCTAGGACAAAAGGGGAGACATGGGTAGTTTGGGGTCTGTTCAGGACATTTGTGATTGAAAAAGAGCAGAGAGAGTAAGGACTGCAGGGCTGGGGAAGGACTAGGCTTTGGGATTTGCTTGTGAAAGAAGTAAATTGCTCTGAAATCTACTCTTTATGAAGAACAAGGAAGGAAGTGCAGAGTGGGATAGGGGGGTTGCAGAGCAGGGCTTGAGGGGTGAGATTTGACCCCCTAAAAGCAGGGTGGTCCCTGCAGGGGTCCTACAGGAGGGAGAAGTTGGGAACAGGGAGCACAAGGAGCCTGGCTGCAGGAGAGAAGGGAAGAACGGTCAGAGAGTCTGGGGCAGGTGCAGCGTCTTCCTCCGGTGTAAATGGGGAGGGGAGGTGGCAAGAGGAGTAACCCAGGAGCCTGAGCAGAGCAGCCCTGTCCCCTAGCCCCAGCCCGGAAGAACCCAGGGCAGGGCATGACTGAGGGTGTCTAGGGTTTGAAGATTTTCCTGGAGAAGAGTCCAGAGACCCCTGCCCTTCTCCCTGGGGCCATTTTTCCGCCATCTTGTCCCTGGCATGGTCGAAGATTCCCAGGCAGGGCCCCACCTTTGGGTGTGGTCAATTTCCCCAATGTGGCAGGTCTCCAGGCGGAAGGGTGCTGGCTGGTTGTCTTCCGAGGCGCCAGGAGACCAGAGCTTTCAGGAGCTTGGCCTGGCCACACCCTCCTGGGCCCGCTGCGGGAGTTCCTGGTGGGCAGGGGCCTCATATGTCTTGTTCCCTCCCCCCATATTCCTGTCCTGTTGTGCAGTCAGCCTGGCACAACCCGGGTGCCCAGGAGAGGTGCCAAGTGAGGGCATAACTGCAGGTCCAGAGTTTAAGGAGGACCAGGGCACAAAGCACTGTGGTTGCTTTGAGGAGACTTGCCTGTGGTTCTGGGAATGGGATCTAGAAATAACCCAACCAACAGGGGGAAGTCATATTAGGATTGGGGGAGTCAGGGCTGGAGACGGACCAGGGCACAGCCCTGCCGGAGCCCGGGGCTCTGACCTTGGGGTGTCTGCAGCTGCCCCCCACCCCGGCCCCGCCATCTGTCCAGACCCCCAGGGTCTGAGCATGGAGAAGAGGCATCGCCTGGGGGGAGCAGGGCTCTTCCGAGCTGCTGGCAGCGGCAGCACAGCCCCCACCCCTGTTACCGCGCACCGGCATCCACCTGGAGCCGGTCCCAGCAGCTCTGCTGAAACCTGGGTTCAGCATACGGCGATCTCAAAACTTAATTATGGAAAGAAGTTGGGATTAAGGACCCCTCCATTTATCTTCCTGCCTGCTGTGGCTTGTCAACAGCTCGGATCCGGAACGTCCTGCTCACGGTTCCGGAGGCTGAGCGGGCGGGAGGCGGCAGACGCTGGCGTTGGCAGGTCAGAGGCACAGGCTGCCCTGAGCCAAAATGAGCATCCTGATTCAGGCCTAGTCCCTCCCCTCCACAGGAAGGGGATGGAAGCCACAGCCGCCCACCAGGCCAGCCTGCCTCATGCTGGGAAGCCTGTGTTCCCGCCTTCTGCTCTGCGGCCCCATGCTTTCGAGCCAGGACTGAGACCGCCGGACGCTGGAGAACGTGGTGTAACCTCCAGAATTCAACACCCTCATGGCGTTTTGGAGCTCCCGCTGCGGGCTGCAGCCTCCGCCCACGCCGCACAACCCTGCCAGGTAGAGGGCAGTAGGGCATTCCTCCACGTTACCTACCCCAGCCCTGTCTCTGAAAGGGCAACCTGCAGAATGTGACAAGAGCCACCCAACCCTTCGACTCCATAATCCCGCCCCGGGACCATATCCCTCAGAAATAATTCAAAAGGTGAAAAAAGTTTGATGTGCCAAGGTATTTATAGCAGCAGAAGAAATCCCGCTGGCAACATCTTACCTGTCTACCGTCAAGGGATAGTTAAGTGAGGTATGCAGCAGCCACTCGATGGGATACTGTGCAGCCGTCAGACCTGATGGGTAGGAAGTCCAATACCAGGGAAGCCGTCTCTGAACATCGTCAAGCAAAAAAGCAGGACTCCTGATTAGAGCGAGGTAAAAACTATCACTGCACGGAGATGAAGAGCAGATGGAGCCAGAGATAAATGAAGTGTTAGCGTGAAGACGCCAGGGGTCCGACTCTGAAAATATATTGAAATAAAAAGAGTTCACAAAAGAAGAGCCTCCCTCCTGGACCAAGCGCCTGCCCACTGCCCTAACTGAGTGGCCCCCTGCACTCCTCACCCACATCCCTCCCCACAGGCAGGCGCACTCTTCCCTTGAGCTTCAGAGGTTCTCCAGCCAGAGCAGGAGCCGAGCCTGTGCGTCTGTTGTTTTTACAGGGCTCGCTAAGGCACCAGGTACACACACAGAAACTCAGCCCTTCCATAGCACGTGTGAGCCATGTACCCTACCTCTTGCTGTGTCTCTGCAGGCAACCTCCTCCTGTGTATTTCATTTATGAATTTATCTTTTATTGAGACAGTATCTCTCTGTCACCCAGGCTGGAGTGCAGTGGCACAATCTCAGCTCACTGCAACCTCCGCCTCCCGGGTTTCAGGGATTCTCCTGCCTCAGCCTCCCGAGTAGCTGGATTACAGGCGTGCACCACCATGCCCAGCTAACTTTTGTACTTTTAGTAGAGATGGAGTTTCACCATATTGACCAGGCTGATCTCGAACTCCCGACCTCAGGTGATCCACTCACCTTGGCCTCCCAAAGTGCTGGGATTATAGGTGGGCGCCACCACGCCCAACTAATTTTTGTATTTTTAGTAGAGACAGGGTTTCACCATATTGGCCAGGCTGGTCTCGAACTCCTGGCCTCGTGATCCACCTGCCTCAGCCTCCCAAAGTGCTGGGATTATAGGTGCGAGCCACTGCGCCCAGCTCTTCCTGTTTATTTTTATGGGGCAGGTACAATATGCAGGCACCTGTGCTGGGCCCTGGGGATACCGAGGTGGCCCATCCCTCTGCACAGGTGCTCACTGCCTAGAGGAGGAAAAAGGCAAGTCTCCAGTATGGGGGACAAGAGGCTACCCTGCAGTAACGGCCATGTTTTGTTCCATGGTGCTTTGGAAGTGGGAGTTCCGTTTGGTTCAGTGGGTGTGTCCTGACTGCCTCTGTGCTGCCCGCCACACTCAGCCCCGGAGACACACGGGGATGAAGCCTTGTCCCTGCCCCCTTGGAGGTCCTGGAGCCATGCATTAATAGATACAGGCCAGGTGCAAGCATGGTGATGGGGTTCAAACAAAGAGGGCACCCAGGAGGAGGCATGGGCCTGCTCCCGGGATAGGGCACACCACAGAAAGCCTGTGCAGGAGGGCTGGCCCGGCCACTTCACCAGCCACAACTCAGATGAGTGGCCTGGTGGGAGAGGGGAGGAAAGGGCAGGTACAGAGAGAGCAGCCAGGATGGAGATGGGGGTGAGGTCCCGTGGGCACCATAATGCAGGAGCAGGGCCCTAGGAGCAAGCGGGGGACACTGTCAGAATACATCTGGCTTCAGATGACATCTCCCCACCAAGATTCTCCCCTCTCCCTCTGCCTCTGCCTGGGAAGGGCCTCCACCAGCCAAGTGGGCATCTTTCCCTCAGGGTTGCTCAATGCCACCTGCCTGGCACCCACGCTTCTGTGAGATCAACAGCTTACCATGTTTTCAAAGATACCACCCGGAGAAACCGCCAGAAGCTGGAAGTTCTCCAAAGACAGAAGTCAGCCAGGGGCTGGAGACCCCAGCAGAAGGGAAGCGAGTGCCTCTTCTCCTGGACCCAACTTTCCCAACCAACCCCCAACTCCACCTCTTTCCCAGACTGCTAGGAGGGCTGAGGGGAGCCCCTTTGGTTTCCAGGCAGTCAAGGCCTGTGGCTATTGGCTGGGATGGACTGGCTGGGTGTGTGTGTGACAAAGCCAGCCTGGCTGGGCAGGAAGGACCAAGAGTCTTGGTTTTGTGCCTAAATCCTGTCTTGAGAGCCACAGCTCGGGGCTGACAGCTGGAGACCCGCACTGTCGGCAGCATCCCGGCTCTGCTGTATCTGCTTGGTTACGGTTCTACCAACAGAGGAGAGAGGGAGTGTTTCTGCAGTGACTGTAAATAAGCCTTTCCCTCCAGCCACAGGAAGAAGGGAGTGAGGGGAGAACAAAGGGAGGGAGATGCCGAAAGCCTGGCCAG